ATAAATTTTTCAGCTAAATTCTCTTCAATATACTCTTTGAATTCAACCAACTCATTTTATGATAAATTGTAGAGTGGTCCAAATGATAATTGAGCTCATTCTTGAAGGTTGATTGAGCAGTCATAGGAACAATATTCTAAAAGAGTATCTACATTTTTTTTTTCAAATGTATCTTAAAAATCTTGATATTGGCTAAAAAATTATTTAAAGTCTTTTCATTATTAAAAATATGTGTGGCATAAATTACATAAGGTGATCTTTTTTTTGTAGCATACAAGAAAGTTATTGCATCTACAAATATAAGTTTGATTGTATAAGATTTATGACTTTTTATTTGATTAACTACACTTTTATTTATACTTTTAAAAAAGTCAAGGCTACAAGAAATCTTATATATTTGAAGATTTTACTTTTTTAATTACAATAAATCTAAAATAATTACATTAGAAGGAGATTTAATAATATTAAATACCACAAAGCTAATATGACCATTATTTATTATTTTTAGAAAAAATATTTCATAAATAATATCTCTAGAAGACAATGGACAGCAATTATTCCTCAATATTAATCTCTAAAATACTACTTATCCATCAATTAGTGCAAAAAAATATATTAATTTTTTTTTTTATAAAAAGCTCAAATTATAACTATGTAAATCAAGTGCTTTCAATAAATTTTTGGAATAAAAATGTTTTGAATAAAAAATCAAAGATTTTTTAGAAACTATTGCTATCAACCTTCAAATTATCATATAAATTATATAATCTTTTAATTTCAAGTGAATGTAATAAAAAAATAATCAAAGTCAATATCTTTGGTATAATATAATATCCACATAATTTCATTTATCAACATAATATCACTATTAGCAACATTAATTATTAAATGTAGATAAATTTATAAAAAATAGAATATTATTAATTCATCACCAATTTATATAATCATGATTTATATAAATATTAATTCTACTATATTTCATACACATTAAACTAACATCAAATAAATAAACATACATAAGTATTATATACATACTCACCAAAAATGGAATGAACAATATATCTTCTTCACTCTTTCCATTGTGAAGGACAAATTTTTTCATGCCCTGCAATATATAACACCTATCTTAATGCAATGTCCACTAATATCTACCTTGCTACATACAACATCTTAGCCATCAAATACTAAATAGACAACCCAATATAATAATAAGTACAATCATATACCAATATCTACCATATCCTTAAATAATCAATAAAGAAATTTTCTTCTATTAAAATATTTATGATAAAGCATAGCAGAGTTGAAGTAAGCCTATAGTCATGATAGAAGATAAGGATCAACAATGAAACAAGTTAGTAGTCTTGATAAAAGATGACAATGAATAATGAAATAATAGAGGTGGTATATTATATTTTTAAGAAAAAATCTAGAACTTCAATATCAACAATTTTTTTATTGTAAATTGGTTTGACTTATAATATAATTTTTTTAAAGGGAGAAGGATACTTTTGTGGTTGAATTTCTAACATATACTGCAAGGGGTTGGACTAAATAACTATTTATTACTGTAATAGCTTTTACAAATTTGAGAAAGAAATGTGAGTCTAAGAAATAGATGTTGTAATATACGTATCAAATAGATACAATTCATGCTGGATGTCTTCAAACTCCAAAGTAGCATTTACATTAAGTACATGAAGATTACAGACCTCAAAAATGGTGATATTTTGCATCTTTGAAAAATTTCTAATGGTTTTTTTAAAGATAATCATTATACAATTTTCTATGAAGAAAAGAACTACACTATTATGGAATAATTTATTCACAATTATTATGATAGAACTTAATGGCAAGCAATACTTAAATTGAGCACTAATAAATATGCCAAATCAATTTGGATTATAAAAAATAGATTAAAGTGATAAACTTCAAATTTCTAAGATAAAAACTTTTCCAAAGGAAGAGATTGTACTTATTTGTGGCTTATTATTAGTTGCAAATTTTTCAATTTTTTTCTGCTATGTAATATCAAATCTTCAATTTGTGAAGTTTTATTTTTATATTTGCTTTGGATGATCATATATAGTTGCATATATTACTATTGCTATAAAATAAGTAATAAATTTTATTATATATATCAAATAGATTTAATTCTTGATTTGTGATAGATTTAATTTTAAAAATTATAAAAATATATATATATATTATTTTTGTTAAGTTTTTGAATATATATCACTTATAAATAAAAAAGATTAAAAGAAATAATAATAATAAAATAATATGATATATTACATTATTATAGATGTATGTAAAGATGCTAAGGATCTTTACACATACAACACCTAATTCAATGCAACGCCCATCAACAGTGAGCTTGATACATGTAACATCCATGTCATTAGATTCCAACTACAAAATTGGAAATGAGTAATTTTTTTTTCCAATACCTTTTTAATATCCTTGTTGCAAAAATACCAACACTTTTGCAAGTCTCAATTATTACATCTAAGTTCTATTTTGTAGTATAGTATAATATTCTTTGTTTACAATGGCAATAAATATAGTGGCTTCCTTGATTAACATACAAAATTACTCATCTAGAATAAACCACACCCTACTCTAGAAGAAAGAAATGAAAACAAAAATAGACAAAATCTACGTACAATAAATCCCACTTATAAGCTTTAAGCTTTGAAAAATCGGTCTAATATAGGCTATGATAAAATAAAGCAAATCAAGGCTAAGTACAATATAATGGCATAGAATAAAAAGTACAATACGACTTATAATGGAGAACATAGTATAAGTGTAAGCAATAGACCTTGCACCTGAGTTGCAATCTTACAAGGCAATTATAGTGAGCAAAGAAGCTATTATTAGAAATTTTTGAAAATCCCAACATCTCTGTTTTTGGAGGTGCTAAGGATCCCAACTACTTTGTATTTTCAAAGTCCTTAGAATTTTCTTTCAATAATTAATCAAAATATATATATTTTTAATCTTTATCTTATATCTAAGTTATTTTATATAATAGATATATAGTTTTTGTTATAACAAGATGTTTATAATCAAAATCTTAAGATATATTTTGTAACTATTTAATTACAAATAACAAAAAAAAATTATATTCTTATTTTTTATTATCTTTTTTTAATATTGTATTTAAATTTTTAAAATCAAAAAAAATTTATGAATAAATTTATTAACATTCCATTCTAATAACTAAAATAAATAATCATCTTATTACTTAATTTTTAAAATAATTATAATAAAAATGTCTCATTTTTTAATATAAGCTATTAGGTTTTATTTCTTCATATCATCAATCAAAAGATAAAATAATCTAAAAAGTATTACTATAAGAGCTATTTAAGATATATTCAAGATTAATCTATTAATATATTATTTTTCATATTATAATTTAACATGATCTATTGATATTACAAGAAATATTTTTCATAATTAAATTTTAGTTTATATGTTACTTACATAATAATCAATTATAAGATCATGCATATATTTATCAAAGTCATTAGCAAAATCTTTTAATATAAGACATTATTTTACTTGTTCTATACAAAAATAGAAGATACAAATTTCTACTAATAAAGGTCATGAAGGATATCATGGAAAATCAATGAATTTAAGCTCAATAAGTCAAAATAGACCAAAGTAAAGATTATTGCTTCTCCTTGTAAGGATGTGCAAATGCTTACTAAAGCAAGTGGTATTGTTTAGAGTACAACACCCCTTCCAATGAGAAATTTGTTAAACCTAAGCTTAGTTGGTAAGTCATCAAGGAGAAGTCACCTTTGGCATAAGATGTGATAGATAAAACATAACTAATATTACTTGCAAATAGACAAAGGTAAGAAAGACAAGAACCAATTAGAATCCTTGCTTAATAAAATAACTTATTTGAATTAGCTTGAAACAAAGATTGTAACACAAATTTAATTATCAAAGCTCTAATCAAGAGTTTGCGCTTATCTATGAGCCTTGAGTGAATGCATTATCATAAATTGTTTTGCATTGGATGTAATAAAATTAAATCAAATCTACAAAATTCAATAATTGATGTTCTAATTAAGTCAATAAGTAGACACAAACAAATTAAAGATGCATCTCAAGCGTTTCTCTCATGATTAGATAATATCATTACAATACAATTTAAATAATAAAATATAGAACAATAATGTTCCATAAGATAAAAAAATTATCATTTTTAGTAAAAGAAGTATTTAACTTATTGGTTACCATGCCAATACTAAAGCACATATAAGATAAATTACTTGCATTGGCAAAGAATTATCCAAATACATTTATAATTTTGTTTACAAATTAAAATATTTTTGGTTATTTAAGTATTTTAGAATCTCATTTATATTTCAATTAAATTTTATGATGGTGTTTATATTAAATACATATAATGTTCAATTGTGGCAACTTATAATGGTTAATTTAATTTAATTTAATTTACACACTACCAATTCTAATAAGATTTTATCAACCATTTGTATAAATTTCTTGATACTTCAAAACCTCTGATTGTGTAATTATTGTTCAAAAATCACCATTTAAATAACAACTAACATTAAAATTAACAACACTTTTTTTTGAAGCATTAGAATCTATTAATAATAGTATAAATTTGAACATAAAATAAACTATCAATATATTTTTTTAAATTATATTATTTTAGAAGTAATAAAATAATATATCAATTGTCTTCTAAAAACATGTAATGAACATATCTCAAATAGTATCTATATTCTAAACTTCTCAAATAAAACCATGCTCATATAATTAATCATATAGACAAATATCAAAATAAAACATAACTACAATTAATTAATGGTTGCATGACACAATTTTAATGCAACACATGACTAGAAGCCACAAATTAAAGAGTAATAAATTGACAAAATTTTCACATCATTCTTTTGAATCTTAGAGAATGGCTCCAAAAAGCAATTGTGAACAATATACAAAGTAAGAAAGGTGAATTGGAACCCTAATGCAATGAGCATCAATACTTTGCATTTCAACACAATTTCCATTTGCATATGCTGAATGAATGGAGAGCTCTACATAAATACTTGCTAGCAGGTGGGTACCTCCTTGCATTCACATTACAACTCTAAGAATCAGTAGCGTACACCTTTCATGGATTGATTAGCTTCTGGAATTAATAAGCTTCTGGAATTCAAAGCTTGATCGACTGCCTCTTCATAACTGGCAGGCTTGTGAGGGAAGAACACGAGATCTTGTGCCCCTACAGGCACACTGTAGCTTTACGACTACCTACAGACATCGCTTGGTTGCAAGGGAGTCTCGTGAAAAAAGCAAGACACAGTTGGAACATCGAAAATGGGAATCTACATTATCGTACAAGAGTTCAGGCCTGAGCTGGATGCTCCGTACCTCTGTTAGTGTGCTCTATCACGATCTGGTAATCTGGTGGGTAGTACGCTGTTTTTGCACTCCTGAGCATGAGGTCCGGTAACAAAGCTGCCATCACAACAAGTGGCTGGAGCAACCAATAGGTTGCTGAGGGCGCCAACACCTCTACAAATTCCCGGTACGCGATGGTTGAGTAACCGACTGGCAATGCACCATAAATGATAATGAACAAGTACCAGCTCACTATGCTCGCCCAAATGGCTACGTGATGAATCCAGGTGAAATAGTGGAATGCCGTGTAGATTTGCAAGTTAGGCACCAGCACTAGGACAGTGAACATGGCCGCCCCGAACTCTTGCGCTGCCGCTACTTGGCCGCCGGGCCGGATAGCACTTAACCCTGAGTAGATCAGAAGTGGGAAGAAAAAGATGACTGCAGCAGCATACAGGGAGTTCGCCAGCCACCATATAATTAACCTCTTGTTGAAGAGCTCGCCACGCTGCCCAGATTGGTAGAGCTGTGGGTAGCGGAACGCTTCAACAGGAGTCACGTCCTGGTCGAGGATCCCAATAACGATTATGGGAAGCGCCGTAAAGACTGTGTTGTAAAAAGAAGCGTACCAATCATTGTACAGTGGGTTTCCTGAGAAGTAAGTGAATATGTTGGAGAAGAAGGATATCCAACCCATGATGCAGACTTTGTAGAAGAAGTAGAGAATCTGTACTCACCAACCAGTTGATCAACATCCGGGGAGCAGGTTAAGGAACAGACCAACAAAATATCATCAGCAAGTCCTGTTGAATACTCTTTCGGACACGAGAGGCGGAAATTTTATTCCCAACCCTGACTGTAATACAAGCTGAGGAGCTGAAGAGAGGAAATACCATGAGAGAAACTCGTCGGTAACACCACCTTCCATGTACAAGGAGTAGGCGCTCCAGAAATCGGAATTGCCCGATGGCAAAGTCTGCTGCCATTGCCGCCTGGGCGCCACAAGAAAAAACCATTTCAACATCGGAACACATGGACGATTGTACCAGACTATTGCAATGGAAAAGAACACATCATTCCGAGCCGTATCTAGGGCACTCTGATGAAACGAACTGCAGATCCCAAGGCGATCGGCAGCCAGGATTGAAAAAAGATAATCAAAAAGCGTTTTTTTGCATTGCAGATTGATAATTACCTGAGCCCCTTCGACGCCCAGAATGCCAACGCCAACATTAGCAGCTTGAATCATTCCCACATCGTTTGCACCATCTCCAATAGCCAAGCACAGCCGGTGTTGACCCAGCCCCTTCCTCACAAGAGTAGTTACCTGAGCTTTTTGGCGAGGTGAAACTCTACAACAAAGCACTGAAGAGCAATTGATGCAGACTTTCAAAAAGAGCTCTTGAAGCTCTTCTTCGGCAAGAATAAATGTGAGAGATTGCCCATCTATAACAAGCGCATAATCAATCGGCTCCGCAGGACGCGCTCGTCGAGAACGTGTAACCACATTCTCTTTACTGTAAGCCCTCTCCCTTTGATCCAGCCCTTCACCATTGACACCCACTTCTTGACCATCTACCAAGGGTAACATTTCAAAAACTTTCTGTCCGGCGCTTGGATGACGCGAGTGCCGGGCACTAGGCGTGCTTAGATTGCGTGCAAGAGTTGCGCTGCTATTGCTCAGATTTCGTGCCAAAGTGGCACTGTTCTTACTGAGACTGCGGGAAAGGGCACTTTGCAGGCTTTCAGAGAAGCTGGTATTTCTCTCGCTGGTACTTGTTCCTCGAGGATTGGCGTGCCCTCCTAAGACCAGTTCCAAGGCATCTGAAAGCTTCTTCGCTACGAACTCTTTTTGTTTCTGAAGTAAGAAGAGACGCACTTCCTCAGCATTTCAATCATGACACGAATTAAGATGCACACAAACTAATAACAATTCGGCTCAAGATGAGTATGGTATATACCTCAAATTTTTTACCGCGCGACCAATTCTCTCTCTCCGCTTTTTCGTCAATTGCTCGAGCTCCCGCACTCTCCAGACTCACAATTAGATTGTCCATCCCTTGTCTAAGTAGACTGCAACCCATATCAAAACCCATAAAAAGATGAGAAAGAAAGTCCAATTTAATAATCGACAGCACAAAAAACAAACAAACAAACGAACGAACAAACAAAAAACTTTTGAAGCAACTAATCTTCCAAAAGTGGGTCCATCGCGAAATAAGAAAAGGATAGGCAGACCTGCAAGCATAGCCAATGTTGATAGCAGTTTCAACCTTGTCGCCGGTCAAGACCCAAATGTTGATGCCTGCGCGAGCAAGACGATCAACAGCCTCTGGAACCCCTACCTGCAATTTATCCTCTACTCCAGTGCCGCCAACAACAGTAAGACCCTGTTCAATCTCCTCTGCCAACTCTTCTGTGCGTGATTCTCTTTCTTTCCCTATTAATGATCTAGCCTCTGCGAAATTTTTCTGCCAGCTCTCATACTCGTCTTCGTCCAGTTCTTTGTAAGCCACAACAAGGGTACGCAGGCCAACTTCTCCGAATTGCTTCAAATGTCTAGTCGTCTCTCTGATAGGGCCACCATTCTTTCGACCGACACGCTGGAAAATTACGGAATCAGCTCCTTTCGAGAGTAGCAGCAAACGTCCGTCAGGAAAGCGGACGATGACGGACATTCGTTTTCGCAGGCTGCTAAACTCTAAAACATTCAGGAGCTGGTATACTTGATCCTTTGGTGGGTCACTCGATCTCAGAGTTTCTCTAATATGTAAAGTTGTGGGTGTCCTCTTGTAGAAGTAGAATCCAAATTGCTTCGCAGCTACAACAAGAGCAGCCTCGTCCGGTGACTCGGCCCTGTACCGCATTCCATCAGGGTCCTCGGGAGTACCTTCCGGGATGGCAGTGTGGCAGAGTGCAAGGATTTCGAAGAAAAACCTAATCCCTTCAGAGTTTCTTTCGTCAAGCCATTTGCACCCGAGAAGACGTTCATCGTAAAAATTGAATCCCTTCTGCTTGTAAGGGTTGTTATCAGGTCCCGTCTCTAAATTCGACTCGTCTACGTTCTCGTGCTTCGGATCACGTGGAGAAGGGCCCATAGGCATGCCCAATTTCACTGCTGCTCTCTCAACCTCTGTTGATCCTTTACCGTACGAAACCCCTTGAATTGTGCACCGGAAGAAATCCATCTGATTACTAGTCAGTGTGCCTGTTTTGTCGGAGAATATCGTATCAACTTGACCTAATTCTTCATTCAAACCTGGCGACTTCACCCTAGCACGTTTGTCTGTGGCAGGATCGTACATGTGCATATCGTGCACCATGAAAAGGGCTTGAGCGACTCGAACAATCTCTAATGAAACGTAGAGAGCAATGGGAATCAAGTACCCATAAAGCACGAGGCCACTGAAAAATCCCACAATGCCAGCAACAGCAGCATTGTTAGGATTATAATAAGGATTATCCTCCGTGGGCCGCATATACCACAGGTTGGTACCCTCCGCCTTGGTGCGGAGAGCCAGAACCAGAGCGGTCAAAGTGGCCATGGCGAGCAAGACCAAAAACATGAGCCAGATTACTTTGTCTAACGACCGGTCCACCCGACTGCGCTTCGTAGGAGGAGGGGTGGCATTCTGCATCGACTTGGTGTCGTGGCCGGTGTACACAACCACGCCCAGTATGGTTCCCGTGTTCTGAAGGCTGGAGTCTCGGAGTAGCAGCTGAGGAGGTCCCACAGGGGGCTCAGTTTCATCAATCTTGAGCCGACCTGAAAATGTGTACAAAGAGGCATTGGGGGCTTCGCACAGCAACTCCGCCTTGAAGCCCCGCAATTTGTTTTCGTCCTTACCATCTATTCCCCAGGTGACCTCCAACGCTTGTCGAACCTGCACATCAACCGAGCAACCAGATCATGAGCGCATTAACTTTGCTTGAACAGCTCAGATACAAGCACAAAACTGAAGAGAACTGGCACTCTTGTACTAAACCTCACCTTCAGATTGGTTTCGCCGTCCAGGTTCATCGTCTCGACGTAGCACATGCCATCGGTTCCAGTCGACGAGATCAGCAGCAAGTCAGACGGAAAGTAGTCGCCATCTCTTACCCTAACAAGATCTCCAACGCGTAAGTCCCGCCATTTCTTCTCTACAAAGTGTCCGCTACCGTCGTGTACATCGATTGCTCTGTTGTTAAGTTCCTTGTCACCCCTGCCTCGCCGCGCATCCTCCCACGCTTCGCGAAGTAGGCCCAAGACGAGCACGAAGATAAGAGGCAGCCACACACTGACGGGGCTGTAGGGCGCGAATGGCGCTAGGGAGAGCCCGGCCATTGCCGTGAAATACCAATAAGCTGCTCTTCGGTACTGAACAAACAACGCCAGTGGTACGAAGTTCCACCACGTGTATTTTCTGGTCGACGTTTTGTTCCCTGGGTAGCTGCCCTCATCAAAACCATCGAAACACAAGATCAACAGCACGTTCGATCTTTTGAAGATTCATGTTCTACGACGTCACTGCTCAATTTTCAATGTTGATTATTCAATATAAAGGACGCAGCCACTACATGCTGTTGGTGGGGGCTAGAAGAAAAAGGAGTAACGCTCACCTGAATAAGGCACCATGATCAGGTCGATTACAATGAACTGTGCGAGAATCCTCCTCAGCACCACCACCACCTGCATCTGAATTAGATCGTTTTTTCCTTTTCCAGAATTTCATGATGCCGGCCATGATGAAAACCTCTAATTCCCTCCCTTGTCAACTTCTAAGCCCAATCTCCTTCGTCGTTGTCATTCCTGATGAGCCCATTCTACGGCTCCAGGAACGTGCAATCCTCGTACATTTGCTCAACGGGTCCTCAGTGCCTGCCCGATGTCTTCCGACACCAAAGTATAGAATACAGCATCGGCTCCGCCTAAACCCCTCTACTAATCTACAATTCTGCAGGACAAATACAGAAAATCACAGCTTTCAAATAACTATCCAAATCCTTACTCGTTATGAGCAGCACCATGCTTGCGTTTGCAGATGGAGACGAGTTGCGGAACAGCCACAAAATCGTATACTCCGAACCTCAACGCCCAACACAAAGAAACCTCCGAAGCATTGCAAAGGATTAAGAACGATGATTTCCAACATTACAAGCAGACACTCTCGCTACGCAACGCGTCGACACGTTCACCAAGGGGCAACGCCGCTCTCTCTGGGAAATCCTCAAAAGCTAAGGGATTTACAAGTCAGTCTGCCCCAAAAAACGAAAAACGAAAAGGACAAAGAAAATATATATATATATATATATATATAACTCAGAGAGGAAACCAAACAATGACGTTCTAGCTCAGGGTTGACGTAACACACCGCTCCGACTCAAGTCCGCTACTCCCCTCCACGACGACAACCAGGCCTTTCCAGGCATACGGAATCGACAAGGCTCACGCACCTGCCTCCACCAGCAGCAACCCCAACCACTTCCCCGTTGCAGCAGCAGCAGTAAGAGAAGCAGCTGGTTTTCTCGCCTCGGAAGCCACCTACACCGAAGCTTCAGTGAAAAGACTCGTTTGTTGCTTGGCGCCGTAGACACACCCCATCTGGCAGGCGTGAAGCAGCGCAATGATGATGCCTGGGCACTTCGATTCCACCACGTGGAACTGCAATCGTTTCCCCCTTGGAAAGAAAAATATAGCCCCAACCCAGCTCTCTCTCTCGGCAGGAAGACAAAAAGCTTGACTCGACCGTCAACCGATTACACCCTCAGCGACTTGGGAATCTAGATCTACCAGCGTCATGTCGCGTCACCACCATCGAAGGGCCGACAAGTATTCGCGCAAGAGTGGCATCGGAGGGTAGAGAAAGGAGCGCACCTATTACACCCAGTGGCCCTCCCACCCTCCTCGCTCTTTGTAATCGAAGCTTCGGGAAAAACCCAGGTGGTGCTGGTGTCCAACGCCGGACCACCTTGCAGTGTGCCCTGCGCCTCTCTCTCCCTTCTGTCTGTCTCTGCCTAGGCGCCCCACAAACAACGCGGGCCCCTCCTCCTTGGGGCACTTTGGCCTCCACAGGGGAGTGAGTAGCAGCACCAGGGCTCAGTGGCAGCCAGCAGTGCAATCAAGAGCCCTTCCCCGTCCCAGCTCGGGCACCCTCCTCGCGCAGAAGGACTCCCTCCCTCCGAGTAGTTAGTTCCTTTTAAGCCCGACACAACTCCACTTACTTTCTTATTGGGTCTAGGAAGATGTCTTTGGCTTGTGTGCCTTGGTGTGGGTCTCGATGATTTTGGCACTGCCTGGGTGTACTAAAGTCCCTTTCACCTGCTCTTTCACTTTCCCCCTTGAGAGCAGCAGCGCAAGAGAAAAGGGGGAAGGGGGCCGGGGGGAGCTGCGACGACGGCACACATTGGCTTATACTGGGGCACTGGCATGATCGCACGGACGCACGCCGCGCCATGCCCCACCTCCTCATCCTCTTGGTCTTGGCCCCCCTCCTCACAATCAATCCAGATTGAGGTGGCAGGGAGGGAGTGGGGTTGGGGTTGGGGTCTCCATTCTGCAATCTATATATGTATATATATGTATATATATACATGCTTTTTTTTTCTTTTTGAGAGGGAGCTTCTTTTGTCTTGTTTGTCGTTTGTCTTCCTTCCTTCCCGCCTGCCTGGGCATTCATCGCCATTGCGCTGGCGCTGGTGAGCTGTTGGCTCTGGGTGTGGGTGAAGAAGGAGTCGTGTCCCCCTCGCACCCTCTTTTTCTTTATATAGTATTTGCCTTTCACTGGCTGTGGCTTACCACTCACTCCCAACAATCGGACTCCACTAAGAGACTACTCCTCTCGGATGCGATGGGTGTTCCGTTGGAAGTTGTCAGCGTGTGTGCATTCGAATCTCCACCTGTTCTGTTGGTCCTCTGGTGATGCGCTTTGCCTCTCTCTCTCACACACACTCTCACTGATTCTCAGCGCCGGCATTTGAACTTTCTTGTGAAAGCACGGCAAATGGCAGTAATCTTGGCAATTGAGTTATAGTACTACTCAATGGAATCCAAGTTGATAAGATAGGATAAGACTAAAATATTAATGTAACTACAATGAAGTGAAAATTAATCTTACAGGGTGGTCAAGAGCCAATTACATACATACATACATACATACATACAGACCTATTCCAGAGTGAGTGAGAGGTTCATGTGATATGCAGACGATGTGGTGGTTCACAACCACGTAGTCAATGTGTGGATTATCGATACCATCTTCGTACAAATTTCTGTTTCATTACTGAAACACTTGAGTCATGTTTCAGTAAAAATAAAATAAAATAATGAAAATAAACTGGGATTGTCACGAAATGAAAAAAAAAAAAAAAAAAAAAAATGTATATTATTCAAAATATCTAAAATCATTTGTGTAAGCATGTATAGTTTTGAATCACTTTTTAAAGTAAATGTAACAAGAGTTTATTAACAATTTAAACCAAATTAAAATAAAATATGCTTGACTAAAGATTGTCATGAAGCCAAAGGAAGATGAAAAGAATATATATATATATATATATATATATATATATACACACACACACAAATTCACTTGTTGTTAAACATGTTTGAAATATGATTAAACTAAAATATTCTCAAAATCTAATATTAGATGAGGATTATTTCATTGTGCAAAAATATTTTGATTGATTTTTTTCACAAAATGTATTGAGATTATTAAAATTTTAAATTTAGCATTTTAATATTAATAAAATAAAATAAAATAAAAGTAATTTTAATATTACAAGATGTATTACAAGGAAGATATACAAAAAATGAGTAAACATGCACAAAGAAGATCAAAATTAGATTGATTTTTTGATTTTTGATTTTCTTATTCTACCATTTCTAAAACATTTTTATTTTACAGCATGTACAATACAAATGGCTAATATTGATATTATTTCATGTATAATTATTATTGTCTTGTTCAATGCTTTAAGATCTTCATCTTTACAGAAATTTTTGTTTTAAAATAAATAAATAATGAATAAATAAATAATTTAGTAGCTTCTATTTCCATCTGAATAAAGCCAAAGATACTATTCAACATTGAACTTTATTAGTACTACTCAATAATGATGTACATACATACATGCATATTTCGTATTATTAGCATCATTTCTTATTAAGAAATTGTATCGTGTAAGTACAACTAAATAATTTGTTTTGAACAAAAATACATCTATAATTGGATGTATTATTAAAATTAACATTTAAATACTAATAATAACAACAACAGCAGCAATTGTTAAAAAAATGAAAAACAGTTAAGTATTTAATAAAAAATGCAGTTTTAATAAATTATTGCTTTGCAATTCAAAGAATTTTATACTACAAAACAATTGCAATGATGATATTCTTTGATATTTTCTATAATATAAAAATAAGATAAAATAAATGATCAGGCACTTATTTACAAGATAAATTTTGATTAGGAAGACAATAAAGACTTAAAAAATAATACTAAAACTTGTAGAACTAGAGTAGACTGAGTGTTTTTGGGAAACATGTTGTATAAACCCAATCTACAATCTTGGAGGAATTTTTAATCGTAGAAAAATGTGTAGAAAAATTTATAAATTTTCAAGAGAAATATTAAATAAAGACAATCATTTTTTTAAACTATTTTTTTCAGAAGAATCAAATATTGTGAGATATGTAATTTCCTTACCATTTATTGAAATGAAATAAGGGAGAAACGTTTTTGGAATTCATGGAATGTTTAAATATCTGTAAAGTATCCTCTTGGGTCAAAAATATTGTGTCCAGAAAAAAAACATTCTGGAAGAATTTCAAAAGAACTTCTTAGACAGAGTAGGTGGTCAAATATATATATATATATATATATATCGTATGTGTGTTTGATGGAAAGCACAACATAAAGATAAAAGAATAATTTTATATTTTCAGTTCTACAAAAAGTGATGTAGCAAGACATTTTACTTTTCCATGATTTGGCCTACTTCTATTGTGAATTTAAGAAATATCTCTAAAAATAATTATTTTGTTAAAATATACATATATTTAATTTGATAAAATTTTTATTTAATTTTTTATTTTTTATTTAGATATTTACAACAAGATATTTTTTATGTATTATTATTAATAAACTAAATATAAAAATAAGGTCTAATATGTATATCATTAAATAAAAGTATCAAAATTATTTATAATAAAAATAAATATGATTAAATTTTTTATAATTAATATCATGGACATACATATTTATATAAATTAAAAGAATTAAATAGAAGTAAGTAGAAGTAAGTAAAAGTAAGTAAATTTGATATTATCTTATAAAAAAGCTTCTTAGAAGCTTTATAGATTTAGATTTGACTTTATATGTATTTGTAGGTGATTAATAAGTTAAAAGCTTGGCTATCAAATTCGCTATTTGTTGCATATGTTGATAATTTGCAATACAAGTTGGCTATATAATGGACATATAGGGATCTTGGTATGAAAATTAGACATATGTCTTGCAAGTTGGACATGTATTGAAGGTCCTATAGAACATTATTATGTACTTCATAGTTAGATAATACATATGGAGGCAAGAATGATACCTTCTTTTCTCTTATCAATACATTTTTATTTGTTAAACTTGTTTAAAGAGTCTCTAATCTTTTTGCCTTTAGCAATAGCTATTCTAATTATGATATTATATTATTTTTAAATAAATATCTATTTTTCTTTAATAACAAAAGAATATATTTAATTTTTAGTTGTTTGTGGTTTATATTCTTGATAGTTTGACAAAGGTCATAATTTATTATTCTTATTTTTTTTAGAAGTAAATATTAAGGATATGAATCTTAAAGAATTAAAAGATCAAGACATTTTTGTGTCACTCAAAAAGACTAAATAATCATTCAAAGATGACATCGTATTAAATTTAAATAGGTATTTCCAAAGACAAAAAGATTAAAAAGTTTTGAAACAAGACTAAGAACTAAAAAGGCTTTAATAAGATTGAAGAAAGATTCATTCTTGCCTCATATATATTATCTAACTAGGAGCAATATGGTGATGTTCTATAGGACCTCTAATATATGTTGACTTTGTAAGACATTTATCTTAACTTGTAGACAAGTTTTTTGTATATGCACCATGTAGTTAGCTTGTTGCACAAGTTATCAAGACGTGCAATACATTGTTAATTTATTGACCAAATTTCTAACCTACCAATCAACTGCAAACACATGTAAAATCAAAATTATTTTTTTATAAACATACATATTTATTCTAATAATTACTTATAAGATTAATTAGAAGTAAATAAAAATAGATTAAATTTATAATATCTTTTAAAAAAGATTTTTAGAAGCTTCATAGATGCTACTTTGACTTTACATGTGTTTGTAATTGATTGGTAGACTAGAAACTTGGTCAACAAGTTAACTACATGACGCACATGTAAATAATTTGTAGAACAAGTTAGTTATGTAGGATATATATAAATAACTTATCTTGCAAGTTAAGTCATGTATCTAGCAAAGTCAAAACATGTTAAGATCGTGTAGAATATTGCCATGTAGCTCTTAGTTAGAGAGTGTATATAGAAGCAATAGTGAAGCCTTCTTCACTCTTGTCAACATCTTTTTAGTCCTTAGTCTTGTTTCAAGACTTTTAAAATTTTTTGTCTTTAGCAATAGCGATTCTAATTTAATATTATAACATTTAAAAGTAATTTTTTAATTTTTTTGAGTGACACAAGAGTATATTGAGGATTTTTTTTTAAGATTTATGTTTTTAACACTATATCTATGAAGCTTCTAAGAAAATATTTTAAAAGATATTATAAAATTAATTTTATTTTTACCTACTTCTATTTAATCATTTAAATAATTATTAGATTAAATATATATATATCTATGGCATTATCCTTCCTTGTAGAGACAAATTCTACAAGAAGTGGTCATCATCTTTCATGGATCTTTATTTTTGTTATCTTAGTTTTGATAGATGTCATTAATAAAAAGTCTTGTCTTTCTTGGCTGTATTTGCAAGATTCTTTGTTAGCTCCCATGTACATTCACTAATACCATATCTATGCCATTGAACAAGATATTCCAACTTATTTTAATGTAACTTTAAATTTAAAACTTCTTCTATTTCAAACTTTTGATTATTATCCACTTCTATAAGAAAA